TGACGAGGCGCTGATGAAGCCGATCGTCATGTAAAGGCGATGGTCACCATCCGGGAAGGGATGGCGAGTCCGATCGCTAGCTCAAGACTCGCGGCACTGAGGAAGCCGGTCTTGAGATAGATAATCACGCCGAGGCCGAGGGGCCGGTCATGATGTGAGGACAACGGCGATGAGGAGCCGGTCCTATAATATGATGACGAGGCGCTGATGAAGCCGATCGTCATATAAAGGCGATGGTCACCATCCGGGAAGGGATGGCGAGCCCGATCGCTAGCTCAAGACTCGCGGCTGAGGAAGCCGGTCTTGATATAGATAATCACGCCGAGGCCGAGGGGCCGGTCGTGATGTGAGGACAACGACGATGAGGAGCCGATCCTATAATATGATGACGAGGCGCTGATGAAGCCGATCGTCATATAAAGGCGATGGTCAAAATCCGGGAAGGGATGGCGAGCCCGATCGCTAGCTAAAGACTCGCGGCGCTGAGGAAGCCGGTCTTGAGATAGATAATCACGCCGAGGCCGAGGGGGTCGGTCGTGATATGAGGAGGACGACGATGAGGAGTCGGTCCAAATAATGATGACGAGGCAATGGTGAAGCCGATCGTCATATAGAGGCGATGGTCACTATCCGGGAAGGGATGGCGAGCCCGATCGCTGGCTCAAGACTCGCGGCGCTGAGGAAGCCGATCTTGAGATAGATGATCACGCCGAGGCCGAGGGGGTCGATCGTGATATGAGGACGACGACGATGAGGATTCGGTCCGAATAATGATGACGAGGCGCTGAAGAAGCCGATCGTCATATAAAGGCGATGGTCACCATCCGGGGAGGGATGGCGAGCCCGATCGCTAGCTCAAGACTCGCGGCGCTGAGGAAGCCGGTCTTGAGATAGATAATCACGCCGAGGCCGAGGGGCCGGTCGTGATGTGAGGACAACGGCGATGAGGAGCCGGTGCTATAATATGATGACGAGGCGCTGATGAAGCCGATCGTCATATAAAGGTGATGGTCACCATCCGGGAAGGGATGGCGAGCCCGATCGCTAGCTCAAGACTCGCGGCGCTGAGGAAGCCGGTCTTGAGATGGACGGCGCTGGGCGCTCGTTTGAGAATGAGGGACGGCGCTGGGCGCTCGTCTGAGATGATGGACGGCGATGGGCGCTCGTCTGAAAATGAGGAACTACGCTGGGCGCTCGTCTAAGATGAGGGACGGCACTGGGCGCTCGTCTGAAAATGAGGGACGGCGCTGGGCGCTCGTCTAAGAATGAAGGACGGCGCAGGGCGCTCGTCTAAAAATGAGGGACGGCGCTGGGCGCTCGTCTACAAATGGAGGACGGCGCTGGGCGCTCGTCTAAGATGATGGACGGCGCTGGGCGCTCGTCTAAGATGAAGGACGGCGCTGGGCGCTCATCTAAGAATGAAGGACGGCGCAGGGCGCTCGTCTAAGATGAGGGACGGCGCTGGGCGCTCGTCTACAAATGGAGGACGGCGTTGGGCGCTCGTCTAAGATGAGGGACGGCGCTGGGCGCTCGTCTAAGATGAAGGACGGCGCTGGGCGCTCGTCTAAGGATGAAGGACGGCGATGGGCGCTCGTCTAAGGATGAAGGACGGCGCTGGGCGCTCGTCTAAGGATGAAGGACGGCGCTGGGCGCTCGACTAACAAATGAGGGTCGGCGCTGGGCGCTCGTCTAATCCGCATGTATGGTCTTGCTTCGTCCATAATGCGTAGTATTTGCCTGATATGTACTTAGTATTGTTGTGGGGATTTCATTTTTTGATGCTCGAGGCCAGCGAGTGCGCGCGGTCCTCGGCTTCCCTCTTTTATTTTTTCTTTTTCCTTTTCTCTCTTTTTTTTTTATTTCCGTTTCCGTTCCCTATTTCAGGGAGTATCCTTCTTTCAGGCTTCGACCGAAGGGTGTGCTCATCCTTCGGCCGGTTCGGACTTCGTTTATAACGTCCGTGATCTCAGGGGGGTCCCGTCGCCTATTTATGACGCAGGCTAGACTTTTGGTTGGTTTCCAACGGCTGCCGTTGCCCAACCCTGAGTGGGGGGATTTTGCCACCTCGGCCATGATTTCAGGCATGTCGTCCTGCGATCTGGCGCGTGGACGACGCGGTGAACTTCCCATTTCAAGACGCGGGCCGTTTGCGGGCCCCTGGTCCTGGGGACATCGTCGGCCATACCTGAGCGTTTCACTCTAGGCTTACGGGGCCAGGACGATGTGCTCTCTCAGCTAGGCCTGAGCCCTTTGCTGATACAAAATACAAAGTGGAGCAGACCTGAGCCTTTCGCTCGAAGGCTGCTGATACGACACGTGGTATCTTCTATTTACATTTCCAAAAAATAAGCGGAATACAATAGGTGCGTTGTTCATGGCAACGGCTTTTGGGCGACGCGATTAGCGTCTCGGAGAACGAGGTGTACCGTTTACCGCTCTCGGGCATAATGCCATGTGCGGCCGGTAGCGGCTCTCAATTCTAGATGCCCGAGTCACCAAATAAAGGTGGCTAGGGTAGGTCGAGGGACCCAAATATAATTAAAATCATCATATAAAGATGTTCGGTAGGCTAGAGCTCGGGTCCACCACTTTGGGGATTTTTGACCCGGTTTAATGCCGGTGATAAAAATAATAACGCCAATAATAAATTTTCATTAGCGACCTCGGGAAATTTTAATCCCTCATAATGGTCTTCACCATCTCGGGGGTTTTTAACCCGCCATGATGGTGGTGGAAATAATATAATTAATAATAGTAATAATTATACTACTATCATTTAATAGATATTTTAAGTGTATAAATAGGAGTATTGGGCACTTACCTCTTATTTGGGCCGTTTGAGATAATGGGCCTATGCAGGGATTGCATCTTTGATTCCTTACTGGACAAGCCCACCAATTAACTTGACCAACTTGACCTAGGTGGGATTAAAAACCTGCGGCTCTTACACAGTAGCTCACCGCTACTGTAGCAGTGGGAGCAGTAATGGAGAGGCCCTCTCATGTAGCCAGCGGCGAAGCTCCCTCGGGGTGAGCCAGGCGAAGCTTTCCCAGCGGAGGAAGAGTTGCGACTTCAGGCAGCGGTCATCCGGAAGATCCCCATGAGGAAGGAGGGCGGCACTGTGGCGGAGAGAACTTAGATTCGGTCATCGTCATTCTCCAGAGCTTTGAGGTGGCCATTAATGGTGGACCTCCGAGGTCGAGCTCCAAAAAGAGAAGAAAATGACTTAGAAAGTTTGAAATCGTGGCTTAGGCTCCCCTCGAGCTGCGATGGTGGCCGGAGCGGTGGTGGAGCGGCCAGGAGTTGGGCGTCGTCGCGAGCGAGATGGCGAATCCCATATTGGGCTCCCGTACTTCGCCGCTGGCCGTCGAAGGCTGGGTTGGTGCGGTCCTGGGCGTAAAACAGCCGGTCAACAGGGGAATTCCGATCTGTTTATTACTGGAGCTCTTAGGGGGCATTAATGGCAGATATGAAGGTCCATTCTTCAGTCTGGTTCAGGTCCGACCACTGAGCCGCGAAGACGACCAGTTGCGACGCCAATGGGTGCTATGTGCAGTGAGCTGCAGCAGGTGGCGCGCGACAGCTTGGGCTTAGGCCTGGGAACTGGTGGGGAGCTTCTCCGGCCATGGCGGGTGGCGGCAACGGGAACGGCGAGGACGTCTCCTGCTTAGCTCTGGGAAATCTCCCAGACCCCAAATTCCAGTTTCTTCATTCCTTTTTTATTTTTCAGAACACTTTTTGGTTGATTTTTTGTGATTTTGGATGAATTCTTTGATGTTTTGGGAGGATTTCTCACTTGATTTTGCTCTAATCTCTCAACGAGAGCACCATTGATGGATTATAGGGTATCCAAAGTATATTAAAATGGAGAGATTGAGCTAGATAATTGGAGAAGATGAATGAATAGTAGAAATGTGATATTGTGTATGAATTATGAGTTAGGAAAAGTTAGGTTTACAAATGGCTCCAAGAGGAGTATAAATAGGGAAATAATGGACCGGGCCGCTAATATGGGCCCGGTAGCCCAACTACATAAAAGACTAATCTAGTACATAGTTACATACAAATGACATATAAGCAGTACAATAATACAAATGATATCCGTAAGATGTGTGTGGACCACTGTCCGGGCCCAATAGTCGTGAGACCTGGGGGTCTGAGTCTATATACTCTATCAGTATCCTTGAACCCGACTCTACAGCCATGGAAGCTTGCAATTATGTTTCCAAAATAGCAAAATTGGGTGTTTACCACTATGGAACACCCCATAGAAGCACATCTCATCCCAAAAATTGAGGATCGCCACACTGAACAATGATGGATACTGGATCAAGATTTGATGTTGATCCTTCAGGTTTGGGTTAGGGATGGATCGGGCCCGGGCTTCCCAACCCGGCCCAGTTTTCCAGGACCAGTACAAGGCTCGGCCCGGTAGAAAAGGGAGGCAGGCTAAGGCTCCTATTTTGGTGGACCGGACCGGGCCTAACGGTCACCAATTAATTTTTTACCCATTGGGCTGGCTGCTAGGTGGGTGGGGTTGGGTGATTTGGGGTATTTGGGGGGTGTGGGGTGGGGGGAGTTGGAATTAATTCAAAAAAAAACAAAATTAACAAAAAAACAATACAAGCACAACCCAACCCAAGCCAGGACCGATACCGGTACAAACCAGGCCGGTACCAGGCCAGATTTCCTTAGTCCTGAAGCCCACCCAGGCCCGAGGCCTGACCCATCCCGTCCCACTTCATGTCTTCATGCCTAGTTTGGGTAATGCCGGTTACAATCCTCATGGGGCAGCAGGCTTATATGTACCCAAATTATTGTGCAACTGTTTATGGGATTAAAACTTTCAGCAATTAAAATGTATTCCTTTGAGATGCTGCAGTTATATATTCAATTGTTGGTATTGTTTCAAAACGTGTTCAACTGTTCATGTTCCACAATCCCACATATCAAAGGATCGGAATTTATCTATACCCGTTTGGGTTGAAATTTATTTTCTACCTGAACTTGGGCACCCGTCCTGTTATTCATTTTACACCGTGACTTTCAATTTAAATATTCTTCAAAAACAAACCATCTAGCACAAACAATGTAACTCAACATGTCAAGTATTAATAGAAAGCAAATGTACAAAATGTTTCCGGTTATGTAATCCGGAAATCTGGAATGCAAGTTCATGATGATATTCAGGCCAAGTCTGAATCTTTGCAACGCATCAAACATTCTAAACGGCCACTCCTTCACAAAGTGCTTGCTATCCAAAATAACACGAGTGGCCAACTGACTCCCCCCCATCGGGCTGGACCATATGAAGGGCTTGGTTTTTAGCCTCGGACTATTCGGGTGAGGAGGCTTATCAAGATCGGATTTCTTTTTATCAAATCAAAACAGGATTCACGCGGAACTTGAAGAAGCGAGCCTCTATCAGAGAAAGAGCCATTGCGCGCTTTAGCTCGAGTCGACTCTTCTTCCTCCAGCCGTCCAGCTTTGCACTAGGTTGAGTCTTCTTTCTTCACTCTCGTTCTATAAGGCATTCTGTCTAGCGCCCCTGGTGTATCTCGAAAGCAGAAAGAGTAGAACTAATTCGAGAGAGCTTGGTGGTCTTAAGAATGGTTCGGGTGGGGGATTCTTCTAAAATCAAGTGAAAATGCCATGGAATTTTGAATGTTTGGTCTGGATATGGATAGTATAGTACTGACTATGCATAGGACCTCGAGAATCCTTATATACCTTATCAGTGTCTGGACAGCTATCTCTCGAGCACAGGTTTATATTTGGTTTCAATGGGAAAAGAGCACCTAACAACGCATCTTCACAGACCAAGAACTACGAGATCAACCCCCTCATTCTGGGGTTCCTGGATCGTGTAAAATAAGAGTGTATAACTGGGGCGCAGCCCCACTTTTTTGTTCGTAACGAGGGAGAGATAGAATAGAGTTCTTCACGAAGTTCGAAACAAAGGAGGTAAGTTTATTGTTGGTTTTTATTCCTAACTCTCGTATAGGTGAACTTGGGGAATATTTCACAGAGGCTTTCGACCCCGTTGTTCAGACGTCGCGTCGTTCCAACAACCGGCGGGGAGCACCTCAGTATACGTAAGCCTTGCCCTTATATCCCTTTTTCCGGGCACGGCTTTCCAATACTCCCAATGCCAACCTTTGCCTTCTTCACCATTTTTTATTGGAGCGTTTCAGATCGGATTCCAATCACCGTCAGCTAATCTCCTAGGTCCGCTGAAGCAATTGTAGCAGCTCCGGCACCCATTGCTTAGCTCGGTGTATGCACCGCATTCTTCTTTAGTCTACCTCCGAGCTGAACATGAACAGCTTCACATCCCTTTCCTAATCAAAAGATAGGAGAGCACCCCTTCTCCCGAAGTTACGGGGGTCAGCAACAGATTGTTACGGCGTCCGCTGATATTGCAGTTCAGACGCGACCAGTTATGGGCTTCAGAAAAACCCTTTCTATCTTACCTTCAACGTCCTTATTGAAAACTAAAGCTCGGTTCAAAGTCACTTTTATAAATTACTATTAGGTGGCATGCAACTAAGAGGCTGCAGATGAGTATTTGCTTGAAGTCAGAATGTTTCAAATATGAGAGCGTTCATTTTTCTTCACAGAGAGATTTGTTTTAAACCAATCTAAGCTCTTTACACAAACCAAATCCACAAAATTTCAGTCTCATTCACTCTAATGACTTGGCTTCAATTAGCTTTGCCTTCACAGGTGGTTGTGATTCTGCAAGAGAAAAGTAAATAAAAGAATCAATAATAAAATTTGGTTCAATTGAAACACAGTTAATAAATTGTTTTGGCTACTTGTAAGAAGCAAAACAATAGCAAAAAACTGTCAATGAGTGTTTAGATATTGTCCAAGAGGTATACAGACACTTTGAAGTTCTCAAGAAAATGTAAAAGATATTCTGTATTACGTAGTACGTATCATTTTACCTTGCAAAACAAGATAATCATTGACAATCATTGACAATCATGTTCACAGAACTGAAACTAGCCCCACCCCCAAATGCATTGTCCAGAAAGGCAGGAAGTCATAGTTTGGTCATTCATTTTATCAAGAATCATAAAGTCTATAATCTATATAATATGATACAAGAACGTGTTAAGCTAATATAATCATAAAGTCATTAATTTCCTAGTTTTGCTCTTGCCTAGGCTTCAAAGGCTTGGGTCTTGGCTTGCACGTCTGGTAAGGCTTCACACCTTTTAGAACGCCTTGTAAGACACCCACAGTCTTAATCCAGACTACAGTTGAGTGTTGTGGAAGGGCACACTGCCTACAAACTTATACTAAATCCTTCCCACTAAACAGTGCAAACTTTCTTTTAGTTGATAGTCCAAAATGTTTGCCTCTTTTCATTTAATAGTTACAAATCTGAGGCTCATATTCTCTTATTCAGACAAACTTCAGCCACACAATGTCGTCCTTTTTTAAATTCACTTACAAGTTACAAGTTAGGTTTGGTCAAGTTTCATAGAATGGAGGAGTACTTATTTATATGTTCGTTGTTACATTTATTTATCATGTATTTGTTGAGTAAGAGAATGAAATTAACCCTACTTATAACGCCTACTTAGGAGGCCAAAGAAGAAGAGGGTAGTAAGCATTCGAAGTTTAAACTCAACTACTGCCAGTCTACCACCTCAGAACTTTTTCCTTGAAGAAAATGAAGAAAAATGTTGCAACTATTAAGCAAAGTCTTACTGGATATAAGAGCCCTTGGTCTGGTTTTGAAGAGAATTTTCTGTCGAATAATACCGATTACATCCAATTCCACATTAGCCGAGTTGTTCTCAGTATTTTCCTCCTTCAAAAGCTTCTTTTTCTTCAGTATTAGCATAGGTTTCTTCAAGGTTATTCTATTCCCTGTTAGCTCATGGTACCCAACAGTAAATGTATAAATCTCCTGAAAATTAAAAAAAAAATCAGGGGGTGGGGGGAGTCCCGTGTGCTCGTCAGGAATAGCGAGCACTCTAAAATTGTAAACTGCGAATTGGGAAAATGCGGAAGTGTTTTTGGAAGAGATGAATTGAATCTGACCTGAGAAGACGGCCGGCAGAGCACGCCGATTTGAAGATTCTGAAGGCGATCGGCAAAAGCGGGTTGGGCTTCAATAACACCTTGAAGCTCCACAATCGCCCATTCTGGGCAGTTTTCACCGCAACTGCATTTGACCCGAATCTGCATTTAGACTCTGTTTTTTCGAACCTTACCCCGTTCTCCGCTCCTTTTTGCCCCTTTTTCTAACCTTAAAGCCTCTCTACCGGTTTCAGCTAAATTAAAATTCGAACTTAAAAGTGCAGCTTTTTTAAAATGAAACAGGAAAGAGAAATTTACCTAAATATGACTAAAACTTATGAAAAAATAGTAGGACTGTCAGTTTTCAGTTTAACATCATAGGACTAAAATATAGACGGAATATCAAAACAGCCCTGCAAAGCCACTCTTCTTTCGTTCGCGACTTGTGAAGGTTGCGCTGAAGGATGTCTCTGCATCGCCTCTGTAACCTCCTCAGATAAGCTTCTTCTTCTTCTTTAATGCTTCTATATTTTCTTTCTTCCACTTTTACTCTTTTCTTCTCTTTTAACTATTCATTTTTTTTTATAAATTTCATCTAATTCACTTTAAATCGTTCATACTATTTTTCTCACCAATTGGACCTGCAAATGGCATAATTGCTATGTTATTGAACACTGGTTTGGAAAAAATGTCACTGTCTTGACATTATATTTACCAAGATGACATTTTTTATTTGACATTTCTAAAGAGTAGAAATGACACCAACTTGACATTCTCCACGACTGCCATGTTTTTATATATATGGAAATGTCATCTCCATGACATTTTGAGAACAAAGATGACATTTTTTACAAAACAGAGTAAGAAGAAGAAGAAATCAGACGAGTAAGATGAATCTGGGAGATAATGTTCGAATGTGAAGAGGATGAGAGAAAAGGAAAGAGAGGCAGAGAACATAAGGGGAGTAGCAGAACAATTTGGAGTTCTGGACTGGACATCCTAGACAAGGATCAATTGTTGAGGTGCAGGAAAAGATGATCGCTATTGAAATTGCAGGGGAGAGGATTGATTTTAGGTTGCAGGATAAGAGGATTGATGTTGGAGTTGCAGGAGAAGAGCATGACGTAAAAGAAGAAGGAGAGCGTCGCTGGAGGCGAAGACAAGGATACACACAGGAACATTTTAGACTTTGCAGAAAACGTAAAAATAGATAATAAGAGACAAGGATAAAACATGTTTTAGTCCTATTTAGGACAATTACTTAATTGGAAAATGGCAACATACAATGATACGTGGTTAACTATTGTAAGATTAAAAATGTTAGATACAAGATTCTGCGATAAAAAAAAATATTAGAAATAATTAGATATACTTTCCTTTATGATTAAAATAACAAAAAAAATATATTTTTACACGCTATACGCACTATAAATACTTTCCAAAAAAATTAACCTCCTCTTCACCTCAATAACATGCGTGCTCAGTTGAAAAAAACTCTCGCCTCCCGTTTTTTAGTGCATCCCCACTTCTCTTACATTCCTTTATTGAGTTTAATTTGAACCGCCACAGGCTTCACCCTTCCCTTCTTTACAAACGAAGTCCACCCACAAGCCTTCACCCCACCCTTCAGAAACATAATATCTATGGTTTGATACATTACTTGTCTGTGCTATTAATCATATTGTCAGTGCTTGATACGTAATTGTCTATGCTTTGTAACAATACTTTTCTGTGATATTATTCGTATTGCTCTTCGTTATTGAAGAAATTGGACTGGAGTGATCTGAACAGGTTAGTGATGAAAAACTTTTGTGTGACCACAAACTTTTCACGGTGGGTCCACCAACAAACTTTTGTGTACACAAACAATTAACACTGGTTGTTGATGATTTTTTTTTTGCAATAATTGTTATTATCAGGTGTGCATATCTCTGCGTTGTGATGGAAAACAACGAGTGTTATCCGAAATTGATCTACTCAATAAGGTAGTAAGAGTATACGGTTCTTTGAAGATGAGTAGGCTAGTTTCATCTGTGCGTCATTTGTGTCTTAGACTGCCACAACTAATTCGGGTGATTAAATGCAACCCTGCTCTTAGCGGCACTGCTGACTTACAACCTTGAATAGCGAAGGCAGTTGACGATGTTCCACAACAAAAGCCAGGGTACATTTATGTTCTGTGGCTATATATTATTGTTTGTACATAGTGCAAATTTGTCTGTGTATTGAAATTTAATGTCTTATCACTTGTCTTATTTTTATATCGGGTGAATGTGGCGTAATGGTTTCGGCGTTTTGTTGAGGCATTGCTATAGAATATGCCTTTGAAACCTGAGTGTGAGTATGAGAACATGATGACGAAAAGATGTGAATTTACATTGAGGTTGTTGGCTTTGAGGAAGCCATCAACCTAGGACGGGTTTGGTTATTAAATGTAGGATAAGTTTGGTTGTAAAACATTAATGTGACCTTACAATATACTCCATCCGTCCCATAAAACTTTTCCCACATTGACTTGGCTCACATATTAAGGAGGTGAGAGTAAAGTGGAAATGTGTGGTTGTAGTTTGTAAGAAAAAGGTAAAATGAAAAGGAAATTTGGAAGAATTTTATGGGACAGAGGGAGTACATTTTTGTGCTTTGTAACAGTCTGCATGGGTTTGGTTGTTAAATGTAGGATGTTGTACAATGTTACACTAACGATGTTGTACAATGTCCTAGAATGTACTGCCAAATATTACCTGCAATGGTATGACTTGTTGTCAATGCGGGCAGAACTTATTGTCCATTGGTGTTAATATATATCAATTTCTCCGTGATATATTTGTATGTGGTATGTATTCTACTGTATGTGCTTTGATACATTACTTGTTTATGCTATTAATCCTATTGTCTGTGCTTTGATACATTTCTATGTGATCTTCTGCAACATTTATTTCTAAGCTTGATAGTGCTCCTTTTAATATGAATATGGACCCCATCAAAGAATAAGATCCCAAAGGTGTACTGGCGCAATAAAATACCAATATAGTCATCACAATAATAGATTAATAGACTTGATAGAGGCAATACACATTAAAGTGTTGCAACAAGACTTCAGTAAAGGGGCGAGGAGAGAAAGCAGTCAAGCAGGACACAAAGTATGTGGCCTGCTTGATTATTTGGCTATGTAGGATGTAGTTATTTGGTAAGATCAACCAGCTTAAAGCTTTTAGGGGATGATGGTTTCTGATCTATTGTCGATGAGAACGAAAATGAAGCGGTACCGATGGAGGTTAGTAGAAGGAAGGGGCGATGATGGAGGTGATGAGAAGGGAAGTTGTAGGCAGTGGGCAACGATGGAAGACAAAGAGATAGAGGAGAATGGGAAGGTTCGAGAATGGAGCGCAGGATAGGCGGCAGAGAGAATAGATGTAAAGAGAGTAAATGTAAGGGTCATTATAATGTTGAGTACATATCCATGATAATCCATGATACAATAGGAGTGCAGACTTATTTTGAACCAGTTTAAAAAGGAAAGTGATGAATTTGTTTGATGTTGAGTACATATCCATGATAATCCATCACCCATATTTAAAACATACATAGTATTGTATGACAGGGTTTTAAATAGCGGACTGCTATAGCTATAACGGCCGCTATATAGCAGTTTCGGGCGGCACTGCTGCATCGGGCCGCTATATCGGTGTGAATGCAAATCATGATGAAAACCCGCTACGTAACCGCAACAGAGCCAAAATGAATCCGCTAAGCAGGGCCGGCTTGACTCATTAAGAGACCCTGTGCAAATCACAAAAATGAGGCCTTTTATTCAATAAAATGCATAGATCTATGGTACATATGAATTGTTCAAATCCAGACTTGCTATAAGCATACCAAAATTATCCAGCAGCCCAGCACATTGAGTACAATAAAGCATCCAAATAAAGTAAAGGATTCAAATTTAAGCACATCATTTAATTAAAAAGAGTCATTCTCCAAGCATTCTTCGAAGCAAATTCATCAATCAGTTCTTGGCAGACCACTTTCTCCAAGACTTCTTTCTCTACGGTTATCAACGCTAAACCATTAAGTCGTTGTTGTGACATTGTTGAACGCAAGTAAGACTTCACAATCTTCAACTTCGAAAAGCTTCTTTCTGCAGAAGCAACAGTGACAGGAATAGTCAACAAAATTCTATATGCAATAATTGTATTTGGAAAACAGTCCAAGTCTTTTAAAAACTTCAAAATTTCAATAGGACCCATTTTTTTCAGGCAAAAGTTGTCTCAGTAACTTTAACTCAACACATAACTCATTTCTATCAATATCAGACTTTTCATTATGTTTGAGAGCATTTTCAAACTGAATACAACAAGCCTTTAAACTTGCATCATCTAATGCCTTTAATTTGTGAGAAGTAAATAAGAAACCAAAGACATTTTCATATTCCTGAAATTGCTCAAATCTGCTCTTCAGAAAAGTTATGGCTCTATCAACAATGTAAAGAAAATAATTCACTTTAAATGATTCCTCCATTGACACTTTAGCCTCAGGTGATGTATTTATATTCTCATCAAAATGTTTTTTCCTTCGAATTTCACGCCTTTGAGGAAATACGGGATCAATATTAATTTCAATAGCAATTTCCTTAGCACTATTTAAGGCATCATTAAAACCAGTTTCTCTATATTTCTCGAAAAAGAAAATCAACCCCTTTATTTTTTCAATAGCAACATCAATAAGCATATCCCTTGATTGTAAAAACTTGCTAACCAAATTAATAGCACATAACACTTCAAACCAAATAACTATGGCAACTAAAAACTCAAAATCAGCAAGCTCGTTAATCGCTAAAGATTTAGCTTCACTTCTTATTTTAGGATCATTATCAACATCTTCTACTTGTAGTAAAGCTTCTCGTAATTCTGATATTTGAGATCTTATAGCTTTAACACTATCAACCCGACTCTCCCAACGAGTGGCTGACAATGGCTTTGGAGTCAAGCCTTTTATATTATTTTTCAAAATTTCCCACCTCTTTGTTGAATTTGCAAAAATTGTATAAAAACGTTGTATGATTCCAAAAAAATCTTTAGCTTTAGTAGATGTATTGGCCATATCACACAATGCCAAATTTAGACTATGACAGCCACAAGAAGTATAAAAAGCTTTAGGGTTAATGTCTAACAGTCTCTTTTGCACTCCTTGATGTTTTCCTTTCATATTTGAGTCATTATCATAATCTTGTCCTCGCACATCAAATATA